CGGGAGGAAAAAGAGGGAATTTTTTTCCCCTCCCCAAACCACATTTTCAGAAAGATCGAGAGTTTTTGAAAATAACACTGTCCAACCGCAGACGCCTTTTTAGAAATATGTTCACGGTTTTATGTAACAAGGGCTAAACCTTAAAACTGACAAAAGGGAAGGCAACCGCTCAGTTGAAAGACAAACCAGTGCCATATTTTTAAGAAAGTTGAAGAAAAAGCCAAATATTTAGCTGAAGTAAATCAGAAAACATACAAGCCATGTATTATAACGAAAACCTTTTTAGCCGTTGAGATACAATCTTGTTCATTAAAGATTGTTCGTAAATTTCACAAAAAAAACTACTAACATTTCCCAACATAGTATATGATAATAATTTAGAAACTAATTATGAGAAACACAATTTGCATTTTGAAGAAAACACTCATCATCCTCAAGTAGTAAAGTTGTACGAGTGGGTCCAAAAATTCCAAACTTTTTGGGCAACATTTTCCAAAATTTACCAGTTAACATTGAAAATGTGGGCATATCTCATCTTATAAAGTGTATTTCATCTATTATTTCAAGAAAATGTAAAAGAAAAAAATGGAGCAATTTTTAGAAAAATTTTGAAAATGTCAAATCGACCTTCATTTAAAGTACCCTCAAAAATGTAAAGAGTGTTTTTGAAAATCGCCTTATTGGCGTAGTGCCGTACGCCGTACTACAGCGTGGTCTCTGCACGAAGCTGCCAGAGCCCACCTCTGTTTAAATGCCGGCCCTTCCTTGCGAACAGTCGTCGCGAAACCATGTGTTCGAGCAACTTTCATCTTCAATTCATGAGCTTTCCTCTCACCAATAATTATACATATATTCCCCATAATCCATACACTTTTTTAACATCCGCGGACTTTCTCTGACTTCTTGAAAGTCTACGATAATTTTTCCATACACCTTACAATTTAACTCGTCATGGATCGCGTGTAGTTCATAGATCAGCACAAGTTTGCAAACGGTCTCGAATCAAATGCAGAATAAATTTCGGCACATTATATAGCCTGACCATGGCCGGAATTGTAATTAGACCGGAATTAATAAAAAACCTATTGGGTTAGATGAGTAAATGACAATAGCATGATGCACCAACTAGCACTATCTCTACTGTGGCATGAAATATTCGTCGCTAAGAAAAACCTTTAGAATTTAGATTTTTTAGACCATAAGAAATAACACGGAATTAAAAAAGCAGTGGTTTGAGAGATTTTGCACGCCTTAGCGGGCAGCAATCGACTGCAATCTCGTTCTTCTGCGCACCGCGCAAGATACATAAAAGTGATACGAAACAAAGTATACGTGCATAGAAAATCGATGTGCTGTCGATTGCTTTAATGCGCGCGGTAAAAAACCTCCCTACTGTCTGTTTATCCGGCTTTCAACTCTTTATCCGCGCTCCAAAATATACGTAACGGTTGAGGTTGGCGCAGAGCTTCCGCTGGGAATGCCCGCATCCGCGCGGTGCGTGCGAAGGGTGGGACGGTCGGGGGCGGGGGAGGGGGAGGCGGGGCGAAGGCCGGCCGGTGGCGCCCGGGAAGCGTGGCCAGCGCGGCCCGGGGAGGCCGTGCCGGGCAATTTGCGCCCTAGCGAGGAAGATGGCGCCGTAAGCCATCCGCCTGTCCTCCTATTGTCACCACCGGAAGGACACCGCGCCCGGTTCGCCTAGGCAGCTGCTTCTTCGCACCCACAGGCCCGTTTTCTCGCACTTCTTATGGGAATGCGCCAACAAGTCGTAAAAGTAAAATACGCTTCTTTGTTTCGTTTGCTCATAGCAGAGCAACGAACTTCTCAAATTTCGACTTTCCTTCAGCCCTGTTAAGTTCTATTACGAAGCTACTGCTGTTCAGCTTTTAAAAACCAAGGTTATTAAATAAAAGTTACTCGTGCTACTTTTCCAGCGGCAAGAAACACTACATTGGGAAGAATTTTTGCACAGTTTTTACTCTCAAGAAAGCAAATAGCTATAAACACACAATCCTCTCAAACTTAACAAGGCATGAAACAAAGCAATAACTAGGAGCGTACGCGAAGCGCGAGCGCGCTGGGGGGCGGGGCAGGGGCCGGCGCGGCGCGGCCTCGGCGCGGCGCGGCGCGGGCTTCGGCGCGGCGTGCTGAGTGCGGGCAAGGACGGACCACCTTACGCAAACCTTGGCGAGCCGCGCGACTGGCAGAGAAGGGGGAGGGCGGGCCGAAACCCGGGCGGGGCGGGCGGAGCGGGGCATGCCGATACCGGAGCGGCCGTCTCCGCAGTCGCGCGACGCGCCCACGGTCCGCCGCGCGCACCGTCGCCAACCGCTCTCCAACGCAGGTAAGTGTGCAAGAATGCAATGGAGACCGATGTGAAAAGCCACGCAAACAATATCGATGGGAAATCGCAACGAGGCAATGACACGACTGCACTTGTCACGCCCCTAAGGTCATTAGTTCTTGATACATTGGTGATTTCGGGCGCGTCAATTGCTAAGAATCATTTTGTCTCGTAAGAATAGTATATGTTTTTAATCAAGAGAGGTGCGGTGATCTTCCCCCGCTGCATGGCTAGATCCGGCGCCTGACCTATCGTGGGCTTGAGGGGATTTTACCCATGTGGTTATGAGTGATACACACATTAATCGGTTTAAAATATAGAAGCATCTTCCAGGCATATTGAATGGTAGAAAAAAATGAATATTCAATTCAGTTTTTCATTATATTAAATCTTCGATTCGACAATGATTTGCAAGGCAGTTTGTTAAATAAAGTCCAAAAAGCAGCTTGGGATCGCAGAATAATCTCGCGAAAGACGCCCGGTATAATTTTTAAACTGGCAATTAAAAAACGCTTGCCGAAGCATCTGTTTATTTCTCCGCCCGAGCGAATGTAACTGCGTGAACTAAAATCGAAATGGTTTGACCTTTGTAGAGACGACCCCTGCGTTCTTGTGCGGTATTGCAATTCCCTCTTGCACGCGCGTTCGTAATGGCCGCCTACTGTGCAAGTCCCAAGGGGTGGCGGCGGTTTACATATTTTTTTAATAATCTTGCAAAGATTTGCCAATAATTATGTAGACTTTTCTGTGCAAGTTTTTAATTATTTTAGTTTAACTGACTCTTTAATCATCAGATATCACCTGGTCGAGTTGAATGTGCTACTTTTGGAACGTCGTGAATTGCTCCGTATTTAAACAAAAGGTAACATGCAACCTTTACAATGAATTGCAGCCAATATCGCGATCTTTATTTTCAGCTCAGTTTTTTTACCCGTTTATAAGGCCTCAACATGGGTAAACGTATCGGTAATGCAGATAAGAATTGATTTAGGAAAAACAGCGCGTCTTGTGGCCAGTACTGGGGATGTTCTCATCCTCACACATCAAGTGCGGGTTTCCGGAGTTTCGTCTTCGATCGTTGTTCGAACTGTTGGCACCACCCTCATCGTCCTCATATCATCTTTATCATCAAACGGCATCCCTCTCGGGAACAACGTCGCTTTTATCTGGAATGGACAGGCTTCTCACGCAAGCACCGTTAAGATGCTGGCTGCATTCTCGGGGATTTCATAAAATACTATTTAACTACAAAAGCTTAATAAAGCATTGAGTCATTGGCTAAGAGGAACAGTAAAGAGAATTGTGTACAAGAAAATACTTTCCACACTAAAAATCGTGAAAGTGGAAACTTTCTTCGAACGAATTGATAGTATTCCGAAAACGTTACTTCGGGGTCAATGTGCTTTTTACAATATTTATTGCACACATACGTTGTGAATGCAATTTACATCGGTTTTAAATATTTTATGAGCAATTATTTAATTTTCTGTACGTTTTACTGATCAGGGATTTTATTGTCCTTTGATACGGACTCGAATTTACTCTGCGTAACTTACGTGAATTGAGAGGATCGTGGTTGCGAGGGGAAATATGAAAACCAGTTGAATGATGTTGCATGTTCCCTCAGCGGATGGAATCATTAAGGGACAATTACGAAAAGGGAGTATGGGAGGGATATGAACGACGAACCGGGACGTCTGTTATTAGTAAACAAGCGAATCAGAATACATACTTATATACAAATAAATCAATTGGGCCACAGGCTCTCAGCTATTTCTTGTCGTTCAATCCAATTAGAACCCTTATAATGCCCTAAGCGAATAAATAACTGTTCTTCATACTTACAAACTTTTCAGAAAACTCCGACTCCATGTCACCTCCTTTAACGCGGGCTGCGCTCCCCCTTCTCGGCCCACACGGCAACGGCGTCGCGAGAAAGATCGCATTCTAAACAAAGATGTCAGTGAAGTTGGTTTATACATCTACTGAAGAGTCGCAGTAGGAGAGAAACAGACGTTATTACATTTCCCAGCATACTATACTTTGACATCATTTGGAGTTTTGCATATTACATGCATTACACGCTTGTTAAGAAATTTCTCGACCTATCCTGTAAATGAGAGGCTTTTCATATGATGAAATTCCGTGAAGTTAATTTCAGAGGTGAGTGTTTTAATCTGTTTTCGAAAACT